TGACCTACCATTTTTATCACTTTATTGAAAGGACCATGAAATGTACTTTCTGCTGACGTGCGAGAGAGAAGTGCTCTGATAAACCTTTTGACCCTCAAAGGAGGCCGTTAAACATGGATTTGTTGACTGTTAACAAAGGACTGAACTGCTTTTGCTATGTAGACTGTCCCCCCCACCCTCCCCCGCCCTCCCCCACCACCACCACTACGCTCGCGCTGACGCATATCCATGATAACATGTTAATATAGCGAAGTCATATAAAGTTACCAGCTGATATCTTTATTACTGCTACTACCAGTAGGATATAGCAAAAGCCTACTATCATAGATTTTAGATCTGTATTAGTAGTATCCTAGATATATGCTCGGATCGCGAACGCCTATTATGGTGACGGAGGCGCACTTGATTCGGTTTTGCCAGTGAGTTGATTCAGCAAATACCTGGCACAAGTACACGTCAGTGAGCACTGTCGCTCTGCGGCACTTGTTAATGTGTGTTTTAGTGCAATCCTTGTTTATCTCACACATATCTCTGTGATGAGCATGCCAAAAAAGTTGAATCACTGCTTAATAGCGCATATAAACATGGAGTAAAGCTTTGAATATTGTAGTCGTGGGTGTAAAATCCACAATATTAAATATGTAAACAAGTTCGAGGTTAGGCACTTCTGTGCACTCTACTATAATATATTCTGTCTCATCTATAGGCTGAGAAGATTGCTTCGCAGTATGATTACAGAAGGACGGAATGAATGGTTCCATTGATCAGCTAGATGGAATTGTTCACTTTGAGGCTCGGGGAGACATTGCCTCTTTGGGACAGGCAGATAGAAAGCATTCTGTCTTCAGGTATAATAATAACAAATATTTCATTATGTAGTTACTAGAGTCAGTTCAGAGTAATTAAGAACAGCAGCATTGTTTACAAACATTATCGTTATTTAAAACTCGTAAAATGAGGTTTAATCTTCCTACTATACCAACTTTTCTTATTAATAATCTCTGAAGTTTTAAAGAATATAATTTTAAAAATTAGAAGCACTCATTGCATGAAAGATTTTTGCTGTCTTCAGTTAATTTTTAGCTTACCTTGACATCGTCAAGATGGCTATTGCCATGGGTAGTCGTACGTCTGTCCGTCCTTCCGTCAACATTGCAGCGCGTCAACATAACTCAGGAACCGTTTTGACTCACATGTTTGAAATTGGGCTATAGTTGTTACTGCTATGGGAGAGGTTTGAACGTCCTATTTTGGAGCACGCCAGTCGCACGTACTTTCGAGCCACCGGCAATTTTTGGCCAAATGGAAATTGCATTAGTCAGTTCAGGAGTTCAACGATTTTGCTCTATTTTTGGTATTTGTGAATGAATAAAGGGCGCTGCCCCCAAAAACGTATTACAGGGGGTTTTGATATTTAAAAAAATAAAATAATGCAAATTAGGTAGGTTTGGCAATTATATAGCATATTATGTAGACACGCAGCATAACAGTCTGTGCGTGTCACACTCGTTTGGTTCGTTTTACAAGATTTTCATTGACAATATCTTTAATGCAAAATTGTATTTCCTCTCACCCTGCATATAAACGTCATTATATTAGAGTAAAGTCTTACAAAAACATGTCGGAACGCAGCATAACCTATTTATTTCGAACGCCATCGCTAAGAAACATCAAAGCGGGTTATAGCGCCATCTACCATCACAAATTGTGATTCATTTTGGTTTATAAATTATCATTGCGATATAACAGATGGCAAGCCGTGTGCCTACCGCCTAGAAAAACTCATACAAAGTAAACACTCCATGCAACCAATTAACCTTTGACAAAAGTTGTAGTTTATGGGCAGCGGGAACACCATTGTCAAAGTGGTATATAGCAGCTACCGTGGAATAAGCGTATCCTTCTCAATCTTACACGTTACAGATCGGGAGCTCCACCTTTTAGTCAGTGCCTAAATCTTAATATTAAAAAAACTGTTAAATGGCGATTATTTAGGTGTAACGCATCACTCGCCCACATCTCAGACTTTCACATCTACAACATTTATTTTCACATAAAAAATCTACACATATTATCAAGAGTATATAATGGGAGTTCTCCCATATATACTCTTCGTTTCTATAATGTATGTCGACTTGTTGCTCAATTTAAAACTGAATTCTTCTCACTCACTCATTTGTGTCTTTTTTTTGTCGGTGAGCTACAGCTGTCATTGACACTTTCATTTCTTAATACCACCTATGTAATGTTTTTTCTTTTCAGCGTCAACAAACATCATAGAAAAAAAATCTCATCCACAGTTCCAGAATGGGATGGCCAAAGCAATGGATGAACAGATGGTACAGTGAGGAAGTTGTGAATATATTTGTGGTGTCATCTTCTGATATGAATTGCATAGTGCTGAAAAATCATGTTGTCCAGAATGCTTCTAATGCAGAGAACAATTGTATGTGAATAATTTGAGCTGCCATTCCTTCTGGTTTTTTGTCGTGTGAGTGTGTATAAAGAAAATATCTATATCTGGAATGTATGTTCTTTCATTAAAGTGTTTCATGTGACATCACGCATGGTTGAATCATTGATGTAAGTTTGTAAAAAAAACTTATTGGCAATACCCCTGAACCCTATATTAATATCTTACTTTCAGTGGATTTTGCTGTTCACTTCCCTTGCTCTATAATTACGGTTCTAGTCAAGTCAAGTTTCTGCAGCTGTGCCTGTATTGGGTATGATAACAGGGGTGAATAAGAACTAATAGTGTGTAACCTCTGCCTATATTATTTCTTTAGCACCTTTGCCACTTCTGAGTTTGGTGATTGACATGTATACAATATAGGTTTGTTATACACATGCTAAATTACGTAGTAGACTGGAAGATAGTCTGAACGTAGTGTAGTAGTAGCTAGTAGTTACTGTAAATCATTTACGTCTGAACGAGAGCTATTGTTGCCTATGGCGTACAACTCGCGTATCAGAGTGAAGTTGTGTTGGCAAAAGGTAAGGAAAGCTTAGGTTACATTATATATATAATATAAAAACCCGCGAGGTGGCCGCCGTTGGCGCGTTACAAATAGATACTAATAAATTTACTTTACAACTGACAAAACTAGCAGCTCGACACAAGTTATGGCAAAAATAACGCGGGTGCACCTCATGTTGAGGCGCTGAAACAAAAAAGTTTTGCACTCGGTCCGTTAGACCATGTCCTCAGAAAATGTCTGATATCTGACCTTTTCCCCACTGCCCTTTGACCTGTGACCTCCAATTTCGAACTGGTGATGGGTTTCCTCCCCATCACACTATACATCGAATATTACAAGCGTAGGTCGAGCCGTTGAGATTTGTGCTGCAATTCCGTATTTCCTCATATACCTTAAGTTAAGGGGGAAATATTCCCCTCCATTGACACATCTTGACCTTTCTTGCCCCCTAAATTCGACATCCCGAGTCCTTTCTGCGATCCCCCCCGACGTCCCGAATATCAAGACCGTACGTCGAGCGGTTAAGATTTGTGCCGTAACTGTTGACACACAGACGGACGGACATTCATGCGATTCTACAAGCTGCATCTGACTGCATCAGCTGAGCTAAAAACACGTGCTATAATGGCAGTAGTATGAGATTGTGGCTAGAGTACATGCCTTTGGTGCAGGAATCTCCAGCAAGGCTCCAAGTTCCTCGAATGTAATGTTGTTGTAGAGCTTACTCGAAGAGAGCAAGTTGTGCTCTATCACAGCTCTGTCTAAGATACTAGAACCTACCGTTGTATTGAGAAAAATATTTATTAATGACATAGAATCAACTCTTGACAGTGCACAGTGAGCTGAATAATACACAGTGACTTCATAAATGACAAGATAACATCATAACACATATGGTATTTTGATATGTATAAAAGCAAATTCGATGGATAAACATGATTTTGGTAATAGATTACACTATAACCAGTGGCTAAACTTATTAACACTATGGTATCAACTTTAACAAATTACAGTTTTATTATAACAATACAATAGTTATGAGAACGTCTGACTAGTAGAAAAGGGTGACCATATGTAATATTACCATCTGCAGTTGTAGCTTTCTGATGTGGGTGAAGCATTTCTGCAAACTCTTTTAACTCTTCACCTCTAATGATCCTCTCTAAATACCTAAATATAGCAGAAATAGCTCAATCATTCCTTGTTACAATTAGTAGGGGTGGGACGATTCATCGATATATCGATGAACCGCGACACAACCCTTGATGATACATGTATCGACACTCTACTTACTAAAATCAATATTATTTAGTAGCGTAGTTTCATCAAACAAGTGCCCTAGAGCGACATTGCTCATCTGACTGTCTGTGCCAGTGCTAAAAAAAGAAAAAGGGGATGTTTGAAAGTCACAGCTGAAAAGTGCCTTTCTGTAATTTCATGTCTCAGTCTTACTAGTGCCTCAGAGCAACACTTCTCACATGATAGAGAAACGGGAGAGAGAGAGAGAGAGGGGGTAGATAGCGAGCAAGCGAGGGAGAGAGAGAGAGAATGAGCAGAGGGGTTACTAGGAGTACTCCTATAGATATCCCACATACTCCTGCTTTTGTCAGTCAGGGATTATCCCATCTTATCGTATTCAGTCTTTGATGGGACAAATCCTAAAATCCTCCACCAATTAGCGATTGCATAATTTGACAAACTTATTTACATACTTTGTTGTGCATTAGTAATGGCGGTGTAATGATAATGATGTAGTAAGAAATGTTTTTATTGTGAGTAATGTGTTGTACATCAATCGCTATGCAAATGCAGCTGGTACAAATTTATGCATGCTTATGATAGTAAAACCGCACACATGGTTGTTGCTATCTAGGTGCTATCTGATGCATGAGACTACTGTAGTAAAGCATAAGCATGCATAAATTTGTAGTACAGTACAGCATTTGAGGCACAGAATGCATCTTATATAAATTATTAAACCTCATTAAATTTGATCTTAAAGTGATTACGTCACGAATTTCTAGCACCATCAAGTAGTACATTTGTGTGTTATTTGTACAAAATAAAATGTATGAAAATACAATTAGTGTTTCTGTTTACTTTTCATGCTTATATACCTTCTTTATATGCCCTAATTTGACGGTGAAAAACAGAGAGACGCCAGTATCTGAACAGTACTGGGGGAATAGTGTTAGACAACAGAAATTACCAAATCGTCTAGATTTTTGCAAATTTAACCAACGTAAAAACATTTTTATCAGGTGAGAGTTTGAGGATATATTTAGTAACGTTAGTTCTTACTTTTAATGTAAAAAAATGGCAATTTTTTTTTTACAAATTTTACCATAGAAAATTCGTGACGTAGTCCCTTTAAACCTTCTTTTACTAAGAGATTTAACTATGAAATTGTGGCCTTCAAAAATACTGAACGTGCATAGATAAAGAACAATCACATAATAAATCCACAAATTAAAATGAAATTATCTCTAGCATACATCTTCTCCAAGATACCGTGTGCAGGTAATTTCTGGCACCGTTCATCTTTAAACAGAGTGGCCAACATCCGAGACCTCGGCTGACCTGCAAATAACAGTGACGTGCTGAAGAGCCATCTACACTAATCATACTGTTCGTCTGCTGATACAGTTAGGGGGGACTCAAGGTTATTCAGCTTTGGTCTGTATTATTGACCATGGTTTCTATCGCAACTGGCAATTTAGATGCGATCACGATTATAAAGTTATGTGAGAGAACTCGCACTGTATGTGTGTTTTCACAGGCCTACATTGTCACATATACTGGTGATTATGGTTTTCAAGGGATGTCTGCTAAAGATTTAGTGAATAGTAGTCTTTTATGACCCGCTTTTACTAATATAATATTCATGAACTACTGTGCTGTGTGAATTTTTTTTTACAATATCCAGTGATGAAAATGGTGCATACCAGCAGAGGCAAGTATTGTCGAATGCAGCGCTTGCTGCAAAGCATGCATACGCTCTTCCTCTGCTATGATGGGTTTTAGCGACAGTTCATAGTATCTCTGGGCTGCCTCGATAAACTTTCTACGATAGTCCAGCATTCTAGCATAACATACCTGTATACATACAAAGCGATAAAAAGGCAACACTTTACTGAATGGAAGAACAAATGGCAAGTTTACAAGCGGGGAAAAGATGCATAAGAAAACATAGAATGATTATGATTCCAATTATTGATAATAAAATACAGATCGGTTAGAATGAATCTGTGTCATAAGGGCCCTATCTTATGATGCCCCATTAATGATTAATAATTGTCATACTTTCCAAGCAACCTGGTTATATATACAAAGCAGTGATGGATAACCTCATCCTAAAATAGTCATGTGACACTATAAAATGGGATAAACGAACAAAACATGGACTATAAACACGTAAATAGTGCATAACTCACGGACAGCCACGTACTATATAATAACGAACCAAATTAGCACCTAATTACAGTCCGTTGTCAGAAGCAATTGCTAACCAGCGTGGAGCGAGGCAGCCAGCTGCTGACCTGTGTGAACTAGCAATGATCTCTTACTCACATGGCAGCGTTTGTCCGTATGTGTACATGGCAGTCGGTCAATTTCACAATGAACTGCAATTAGGTGCTAATTTGGTCCGTTATAGTCTATGGCTGTCCATGCATTTCGCGCCATATACTGTATAAGCCATATTTTTCGCGTACATATATTTTCGCGAATTCAGACTTGACGGACAATTTCGCGAGTGGTTAATTTCGTGGTCGGTGAATTATGAATTATTTGGTATTATTCCGTATGAATTACTTGTGTGTTGTTATTTTCGCGGTCGGGAACACGTTTGCGAAATTCGCGAAAATTAAACCACCGTGAAATATACAGCGTATACAGAACATGCTTAGTCCATGTTTTGTCCATTTTTCCCCATTTCATAGTGTGACACACTCTTTTCATACCAATATTAATTCGACCGTGAAAGCTGATTTATCGATCCCATGCTAATCGAAGCAAAGGTAACGTGCATGTATCATACACCTAATTTATTTGCTACCTAAACAGCACCTTGTAGTGGATCTGCAGTTCATCACTCTTTGTATCTGCTTGTAGCAATGAAGCCCTGTTAATATATGCCTCTGCTTGAACAGGATTGTCATCTTCCAAGTAAAGTCGAGCTATTTTCAAATATGTCTTCAGTTTATAGTCTACTGAATACTGCCTGCAAAACACATAAGTATGGTTTTTAAGTTGCATAGTACCCCAACCTACTCATACATACATGCAGCCACAACTTAAACATTTGGCATAGAACAGAAAGATGAATAAAGTCTTCCTCCTGCATTCATCTATGATTAAGAGTAGCACAGACTTAGATGCTTTTTAACTATGTTACATCATGTTTACATTTTTTATTATCACATATCATGCAACCTATTATACAATTACTTGGACAATGATTGACTTACTTTTGTCCAGTTTCTAATGGTATGCCAACAAGAACAGTAGCTGCATTTCTCCACTGTTGCTCTTTCTCATATATTATGGATAAATGTTGACGAATACTGGCAACCTGCAATAACATAATATATCAGCACAGAAAATAATCTGCAAACAAGCAACAGTATTAGTGCTCGCCTCGTTTGTTAAAAGTTTAGCACTTCACCAGCCATTTTAATTGGGCTCAAAACACAACACAGCATCCTATATTGCATATATTCATTATCTACTTATATGCTGGAAAGCAATGCATCACATGTACATATACACATGGTGAATTTCTACCTGTTCCTCAAAAGAAATCACCCGAGGTTGCAGTTTCTCTAGAGTATAATCAGATATTTGCTTTGACACGGAATCTGGCAGCTTGGAGAGCTCACTGCAGAAGTGAGTGAGTAAGGATCGTGAGATCATCAAGCTCATTGAGTCGTGTGCCACTGCAACGAAATTCCAACAACAAAAAGCACCTGTGACTAATATCTATAATAAGTATAAGGCAATCTTAACTATCCACAAAAAGTATTCACACTTCTGTATAAACGAAACAAACTTTATATCCTGTAAGTTACAATGTTATTACTAATCAAATAAAATGACTAATCATCATCAATCAACTTCTCTTAATAAATCATAATCAATAACCAGACTACCCAACTGTTGCATCTATAGTCATTTTTGGCACTCTGCAACATTTCGTTTGGAATGCATACTTACTCATTTTGCATGTTTAAAAACTGATTGGGTAAATGAGCATTTGATGAATTTTAGGTAAAAGAGATCTATTTACTCCTAACTGTAATTTCTACCATTTTTTTTAAATATTGGTTACACTTTCATATTTACTGGTATAAAGCAGACAATCACTAGTCACAGTTTATTTATTTAGTAAATATATAATTTCCCCATATTACTGAAATATAACACTGCATTATAACAAACATTCTAAATAAAAAAATACACACTTACTTGCATCAACAAAAGCCTGCAAGCTAGTCGCTAGATCATCACCTTGAAAAGTCATGATTTCTTCAAGTAAGGCTTTGTACCTGAAAAAATAATTACACAACTTGGCTTGCAAAGAATGTGACTGTGTACAACATTTTTGGTACTAATCTGTAAGTACACAAAAATGACAACCTGCTATTATTGCCTATTTTATACCTGTACACGTGTATAATTTTATATTAAAACTGTCTGAAGACATAAGGGGCTATGGTCACAAGGGGCCTTGGTCACATAGCTGTTACGTTAACATTTTAGTGCTCTAGGTACCTTATTTTGTTTTTGACCTGTGCATTCATGACTATTCGATGGGATTGTAACATTTCACTTGATAGAAATTTTGAGGTTTCTAATGAAATATTGATTTAACCTGGCTCCAACTGACAGTTGGTTTACAGACTTGCATGATGATCCTTCACACCAGCACATGTACAAAAAGTGTACCAACAATTAATCCATTATTTGCCCCTCCCAAAAAATGGAACAAATAGGCAAGCTATACCATACCAATGCTAGAACTTTGATACTTGACCTACTATGTAACATGTTAATCTGCCCCACCATCTTTGTGGATTCCCCCGTACCTGCTGAATAGGAATGCTATAGGTGAGGGCCTTTGAAATTTGTGCTGTTAGTACAGTCGATGCATGGATGATACTGTTGACATTCTATGAGATTGATCTAACTGGAACCAGATTATACCAATATAAATTCAGCACTAGAAATTTTTGACATTATGATGATCTAGAGCCCAATGCCCAGCTGTAGGCTAGGCTGGTGAACTAACCATTGCCACTGAAGTATAGGATTGAGTTGTAACACAGGTCACACCGGTCTGTACTTTATCACAATAATTTCGTAACTGCTACGTCATAATGTGTCCTATTATTATTACTCCTATACATTGAACTTTACAATACAAATTAGCATAAATAATTCTATGCATAGAATTTTATCAGATGCTTAATAGTTTTGCTTCCAGACAGGCAGGGATGAGATTGACAGCACGGCAAAACTGACATCTACATAGTGTCGATAAACAAAATTCATCACTATAAGTGTAAGGACATTTCATTACCTTTCACTAATGATAAGAGCAAGCCGGCACATATAGTTTATGATACCTGGCTATTATTATAAGTATGTACACCAGTGATGAGAGCTTGCCTAAAACAGTAGTAATACCTAAGCACCTAAAGTAAAAATATTAGGGCCCAGTACAATTTTACGGGGCCTAGGTTATCGCATATAGATTCATGTTCTTGGAAATTGTACTCAGTTCAGCGACCCTTGAAAATATAATGTGAGAATGTCGTGCGATAGTGCCTTGGCTCAAACATATTAAACAACTAGAATTTTTCAGTTGTCCGATCGGGTAACTAGCCAAGAGAATAACATGTCCGACATAGACTTTCACTTGTCCCAGGCAATCGTACAACCGTTAGTGTCACCAGTGATGAGAGCTTGCCTAAAACAGTAGGAATACCTGAGCACCTAAAGTAAAAATATTAGGGCCCAGTTCAATTTTACGGGGCCTAGGTTATCGCATATAGATTCATGTTCTTGGAAATTGTACTCAGTTCAGCGACCCTTGAAAATATAATGTGAGAATGTCGTGCGATAGTGCCTTGGCTCAAACATATTAAACAACTAGAATTTTTCAGTTGTCCGATCGGGTAACTAGCCAAGAGAATAACATGTCCGACATAGACTTTCACTTGTCCCAGGCAATCGTACAACCGTTAGTGTCGAGGGCTGCCTTAGAAAACAAGAACCATAGTGAATTGTACTGGCATAATTTTAGGACCCAAACCGCAGTGATTCCACTGATTACGGTCCCTTTACCTAAACAAACAAACAGTTGAAACCCTCGTATTCTGGGTGACCTGATGAAATTCTTCGCATTGAGCGACGGGGCAAATGTTAATTTTTATCCCTGTATAGAATTATGTAGTTTTATATATATGTCTTGTTATTTGAATAAAAGATGTTCATGAAATGTATGCATCATGTGCCGCATGATATAATATTAAATTATTGATATGTATTATGTGTGATAATGTCTCATCAATCATGTCAGGAACGTATAGCCAACCTATTTTGCCCAGGGGGCGGGCAAAGCCAGAATTCACACGTTCCTTGAATTCACACGTTCCCAGAATTCACACGTGCGTGGTGTATTCTGGGAAGGTGATCGCTATTGACCATGTCTTGTATCTAATTTCTCTGGGGGGGGGGTGAGGGTCACCACCCCCGCTACTAGCTATGGCATGACCCTGCATCATGCATGTACCACATATTGATATTCTACTAAAGCGGGGGGGGGGGGGGGGATACACTATGCCAATTTCACTACGATCAACGCAAAATTCGCGACAAAAATGTTCGCACCAACCATGGCTCCAACAGTCAGGTGATCTCTGGTGAAAGACGGCGGCGTCTAGAAAGTTGAAAATTGCAGTTGCTGGCGTACTGTATTTATTAATGAAACGCCACAGATTATGCTGGGAAAATAGACGTTACTGGACGAAGCCTTGGCTATTGCGGCACGGATTAAGCCTTGGATATTTATTGTCTGAGTATTAATGTGGTTAAATCCGGTAGTAAAGTCTACAAGCGAAGACACCAACTACCACACTACTAAGTACTAAAGTTGGGAACACTCCTAATGGAGTATCACCCCACAGTTGTCCTGCTTCTAAACTAGAATGTATCTCTTAATTCATTATATATAATCTGCTAATTCTCACAGCATATCAACTTTCCAATCGGCTTTACCCGCCATGTTTACACTGCGCATGAGTCAATGGAAGAGAGACACGGAAAACTCGAAACGGAAAAGACTCGCTAGAAAATACTACAGAAATAGTACCCATATAAAACGTCTGTGGTAGGCAATTAATGCCTCCTATCCGAAGTGAATATGTCTTAAGTTATATCAGCTACTAAAATTTAACCTCTAACTATCGTTGCAATGGTACCCTATTTCTTGTGAACAAACATTCGATTTGCGAACTTCAAACGGCCATTTCTGGCGGCGCTGCAGCAGCGCCGCAGCAGCGCCAGTCAGCGGAAACTATGTATTTCCGCACGTGGAGAGGTGGGCGGCTTGGGTTGGTTGTGGATAAAAACATTGTTGTTGTCAAGTAACAAATTAAGCGATCAAAAAAGATTGTAATATTAGTTTTGTCATGAAAGATGAACAAATTACTATTAATATTATTAATTTGTTACTTGACAACAACGTTTTTGTCCACAACCAACACAACCCGCCCACCCCTCCACGTGCGGAAATACATAGTTCCCGCTGACTGGCTGGAGTAAGTTAGTACCGAGCATTCCTAATGGCTGGTTCTATAGCCTAGCGGTAACTGTACGCGGGGCCGCGGGCTATAGTACTAGAGCTACAACTTACAAGTGCCTGTGCTCTCAGCGTAACTTAAAACACAGTGGCTATATGCCCGGCAGCCGGCGTATATCTGACGGCTGCCGGGCACGGTCTTCGATTTCCTAAATGCCCGGCAGTTTTTAATTTTTAGCGTTATCTCAAGTAAACAAGGGTTAGGGTTAGAGTTAGGATTAGGGTTAGGTTTAGGGCTAGAGTTAGGGTTTTTGTTAGGTTTAGGGTTAGGGTTAGAGTTAGGGTTAAGAACTGCCGGGCATTTAGGAAAACGAAGACCGTGCCCGGCTGCCGGGCATATAGCCACAGCGAACTTAAAACTTCTACTTCTATACTGGACAGTCTGTAAAGAATAAACGTCCAGGGCTATAGCTAGCCATGGTGTGTGAGTGTGACCTAGCTTGGGTACACTACACTCTACAGCCAGGTAGTTAGCCTTTTTTAGCCGAAAATTCAGACAGGCGATTTTAGAAATAAATCCATATAGGCTACGCGTAGATATATTTTATGCCTATACGTATTGTATAGATAGTGTGTGATGGGCGTGTACAGGGGGGGAGTCCAGGGCAGGGGGTCCGGACCCCCTCTGCTCGCGCAGAAAACGCATCTAAGGACTAACACTAAGGGGGTCTAATTTCCAAAATTTTCCCCAGACCCCCCCTTCGCGTGCTCGCAAATTTGGGTTACGGTTAGACACCCCCCCCCCTGGTACAAATCCTGTACACGCCCCTGATACAATGCATAATACTCGCCTATCACCGTGTTCCTTATGAGAACCCGGCTCTTTATCTAACGATTGCAATTTTTCGGTAACGGTGGCCGCCATGTTGGTGAGTTTTCTGGCACGAATGTCATTCGCTCAAAATAAATATAAAATTACATTTTCAACCCATTTACATTTTTGTATTACATTACAATTATAAAATAATATACTACAGTACTTAAAATAATAAAATATTATTAATAATTATATAATATATATATATATATATATAATTAAAACAAAACTTTCGCTCTTACTGCTGCAATCCGAGGCGTTGATCTGTCCATAGAAAGTGATAGAAATAGATAGATAACTTTTGTTGTCTATATATCTATTTCTATGGATCTGTCTATTTGTCATTTGATCAGCTTCGTCCATGCTGGTGACAGGTCCATGTCATAGAAATAACTATATAATATAAATAGATAACTATAATTATATCTATATTTAAAATTATTATTATCTATTCTATCTATGGTTATTGGTTATATCTATATTATTTCTATGGCTTCGTCTATCTTCGTCTTGGGTCCCTTGCATTTTGAAGACCAATCTTTGAGGTTATGCCCCCGTTCAATTACAGCGGACCGGTCAACAAAGCTACGTCAAATTAAAAAAAACGTACGTTGCGTGTATACTAAAATAAAACGTTTTTTATAATCACAAAATTTAACTATTAGATATTACCAAGAGTAGATAATAACACATTATTATCTACTCTTGATATTACGGAGTTCATGATATTACGGGACCCCTAAAACCACAGGGCCCCTAAAACCGCGGGGCCTGTAGCAAATGCTACTTTTGCTATTATTGACGCGTATTGTTAATGTGGAAATGGCTACAGTCGGTTAGGTCAGAATATCATCTAAATCGTTCAAATTGTGAAAAAAGTGTGAAAATTGGTACACTTGCATACTTTTGTATGCTCTTTCATTTAAAAGCAGGACACACGCGATCCACCTACAACTTCGGCCGCCATCTTGATGCATGTGATCCAAGGGCGTTTTCGGCCACCATCTTGAATTCAAAAATGGCCGCCGTCATTTAAAAAAAAAGAAGCTATATCTCGGTTAATAATCTTCGTACAGACTTGAAAATAGACTGACAGACGT